CTCCAGCTACAAGGCCACTATTTTTTAAATGATAAACGTTCAAGTCACATTTGCAGAGAGAGAAGAAAGCAGCAGCAGCTCAGCAGGGAGCTGCCTGGGAGCTGTGTGCACTTGTGCAGCCAAGAGCCACACATGGAGCTGCTGCTCCCTGCCCCAGGGTGCCAGGCATGTCCTGTGGTGACTCTGCTCTAAGCCACGCAGAAAACACTCCTCTCCTCTGCTGCAGCCCCCTGGTAACCATGCAAGGGGTGAAACACCCTGTGGTACATGGATACCTCTGGCTTCCCTGCTTTTGCCCAGGCAAAAGTGAATTAGCTTTCCCTTTGGGTTAGGAAAATTAAGGGAATTAGAGACAAGGAGTAACAATACATTGCAAATACTGACTAGTAAGGGCTAGATCCCAGTTTAGCTGGAGAGTTGAAAAGGAAATCAATTCTGGGCGTTAACACCAGTGTTTTCTGGATGCTGCAGTGACTGCAGTGCTGACTGTGCTGCGAGCAGGGCGGCTCCAAACACCCACACACATGACACCGGCTCCCCTCGCTCATCCCTGTCAGGAGGACACCTCATGACCATCAACTCTGGTCACACACATTTCTCTGTCCTCCACGGGGAGCGCTCAGCAGCAGAGCCCCAGCCCGAGGGGCACGGCCGGAGCCCTCACAGCCCCTGTACGGCAGAGAAACACCAGGCCAAGCAACAAACTCCTGTGTCACGGGACAGTTTGACCCACTGTCAAAGGCAGTGGGTTCTTTCTTTCACACCAGAGCCAGTCTGAGCCCCTGCCCCTTCCTTGCCCGGACAGGGGGGACAGGACCAGTTGAAACACTCCTGAGGCTGCTGTGGCAGCCTTCATCCCTCCTAGAGATTAATAATAATAATAAAAAAAAGAGATTAAAAAAGAAAAAAAGTGGGGTAACAGGCCTGTGTTTATGAGACAGGCCTTGGCAGGTGCAAGTGGGAATCCTAGAAAGCTACACCCATCCCGTGGTGCTGCACAGGGACCCACGGAGCCTCCTGCCCAGCACCATGGCCCTGCTGACCTCTGCCTGTGTCCTGCCTCCTCCCTGCCCCAGCCCCTGCACCTGGGGGGACATGTACCAGGAGAGAAAAGAAGGGAAAGCTTACAAAAAATACAGGATGCAGCTTCTTCAGGCAAAGGTCTCCATCTTTTGCTATTTATGCCTTCAGGAATACAGGACCTGTATTACTCTGAATGCTCAAAAAGCCAACACATATACACTCTGCTACACCTTCCCAAGCTCTTTTTTCCTGCTGTATGATTAACACTTCACTTTTCTGGACAGCACTCTATCATAATTTGAACTTATATTTCATAAAACCTTACAAAGACTTCTTGATAACCATGACTCCTGTGCAGCAGCCCAGACAGACAGGAAAGGGATTGTACCTGGGCAGATGGACACAACTCCAGCAACTTGTAGGCAAGGAATCACAAGCAGTGGCCAAGTGTGACAAACTGCTTTGCAGGTCCACGTGGGAATGGAGATAGGGAGCAGCACAAGGACCACAGCTTTATGCACACACTTGTTCCCCTCAGGCAAAGGCAACCACCAGTATGGACAGTCAGGACCAGCTTTCTGTCTTACTCTCAACTTTTTGGGGGCAACTCACATTCACAGCTGATGGGACAGCAAGTCCAAACACAAATTCTTATTTGCAATTATGAATTCCTTCAGAGACTCCCAAGGAAATGGCTGCAGCACTGTGAGTACTTGGAAGCTTGCCCCAAGAGGGATGTTTGACAGGAGACAGATGTCAAGCTTGAGGTGCTTGTGGCTGATACACTCACCCACACTCTCCTACTGCAAGCATAAAAAAATGAACACAAAATGTACCAGAAGTAAATTGACATACTGTATTTATTGCACAAATTTCCCCTAAAATTGGGAATGGTTATTATAATACAAGTGCACATCTTGGGAAATATATACAAAAACAGAAGAGATAACAAGTATGTACATTTTACCCAGCATTTTACAAGTACCACCATCTAAATAATTTAGAGAAAGCAAAAAAATTGTCATAAAACATCTAGAACAACTAATAGGGAAACATACGCAAGGTGTAAAATCCTGGTTTTAAATATTTTTTGTTCTTAGCAGCCCAGAGTTTGCCCATTGCAACAAAACCAAATTTGCTAATTCGTGTACACTTAGTTTTCAGCCAGAAAATTAAGACATGTTACTGGAGATGGGGAAGAGTGGAAAGAAGGAATCAAACGTTAGTTTTTCTAGTCACGTAAAACAAATCGCGATTTTCCGTTAAAAAGTCGATGCTGTTCTCCTGTAAAAGATCCCTTTTATTTAACAAGCAGACATACGTACCACATTGTTCATGTACCCTACAGGTTAGCTTACAGAATAACTTCCCATCTCAGGAGGGTTCTGGTTGTGTTTTGACCACAATGCTGCTCAGAGGGTGTCACTGCCCTGAGAGGCACCGCTGTCCCGGGGCGCGGCGGGGACGGGTAGCCCAGCAGGGACCTGCATCTGGGGCTGCTTCACCTGGGACTGACTGAACCTGCTTCCAGAGGGGCTCAGGGGCTGTGCTCAGCAGAGCAGCAGGGAAGGATGCCACCAGCCAACCACCTTCTTCTGAAGTTAACAAACATTCCAGGCTGTGCAAGGGCCTCTCTCAAGTCAAATTTCCAAGCAATACTCACGATTCACCTGATAGTGGCTACGTGGAGGAGGACACAGTGTTTCTTGTGAGGATGCACAATTAGCACAGCCCTGGGAGGTGCCAGGATCACAGTGTGTGCTCCCTGGCTATTCAGGCCCATCCTGGGGGTAAACCCAGGGCAGGAACCTCCCCAGGGACAAGGGCAGGAGCATGTCCTTGGGGCTCCTCAGCCAGCATGAGCATCACCAGGTCACAACTGCACATCTACGTATAATGTTCAGAATCGTAACTATTGGCTACACAACCTATCACAGTAAAGAGTTAAACATATTCTGAGCTCAATCCTCTATTTCATTAAAAATGTGTTTACACAACTGGGCCCCTACATTTTGTGCTCGTTCCAAAAGCCAGATGTAATATAACTGTGTGGTGAAGAAAGGACATTTGGAGAACAGGGGAGAAACATCCTCAGATCACATATTAAACAAGTTTCTTCCCCACAGCAGTCAGCGTTAGATTTTATATACAAAAGAGTTTCAAATGACACTGCCAATATTACTGTTTGGTTTACTTACTAATGTAGACTCAGTCCTGCAAGGAAAGGGCTGTGGGGTTGCTGTGGAGATCTTCCCTGGAACTGAGTCTTAAGTTACAGATTTTAAATATCACTGAAAAAACATTCTGGGTGAAACTCTGGCCCTGGCAGAGGAAGGGAGGAGAGTTTAGTCACTGACAACAGTGGGGCAGGGATCTCTCCTATTGTTTTTGAGTTTATCAAATGGTTAAAATAGATTTGTATTTAAAATAACTCTGCAAACAACAATGGCAGGCGTGCTACGCTATTGAAAAGATTATTACAGAACAACATATTTATAGAACTGTTTGTGGAGCTCAGCAACCAAGTGAACATGTATCTCCTGCTTCTGTGGATAACCCATGAATCTCAATATACTGAATGTAATCAATGAAAACAGAACCTAAAAATCAACATTAATTGGCTGCTAGGACAAATATGCAAAGAAAAGCCTCTGATGAAGTGTCCAGTTAAACTGAGGTAGTAGAGCCTTTGAAAACATCATCCACCTACCACTGTGTATTTACATGACTTACACCAGATTGGGTCCATCAGCTGTTCCTAAAACTATTGTATATACAAGGACAAAGCAGTGATGGCTGAGTAGAGGAGAAATGCTGAGAATAAAATAAACAACATTTCCTGCTGGTAATCACACAAGTGAGTAGAAAAGGGATCAGAGTCACTTGCATCATGGGTGTACTTGTCAAAAAATAATTCTGGTATTACTCTACTATAGTGTCATCAATGCTCATTTTTTGTAGAATGCTTTTAAAAAATATATCAATTAGTTACCTGAGCAATTAAGGGTAATAGTCTATTCATTTTTTTTCCCCAATGCTTTGGTACAATTATTTCTAGTTCATTACTTCAATAGCTGACTGACTGCTCTATAAAGAATATGATGTTGCAAGAACATTATAGACCATAGAAAAGTTAGAGGTAATAGTCCTGTCATCCTGGGGAAATTTCAGCCAATGTTCTCTTAAGGTTTTGATTACACTGTGAAAGAAGAGCATCACTTAGTAGAAAGCAACATTTAAACATTATAAACATTTAATACTGGTTACAGCATCTGCCCAAGAAAGGAGAATCTCCATCACTAGTTTGTCTGTTGGCCTCTCCCTCCCTCCTCCCCGTGCCCTGCTGCGCCCCCCGCCATTCCCGCTGCCCAGGAGAGAGATCATAAATAAATTCCGGAGCAGAGAATCATTAATAAGCTTTTTACAAACCAAACCCCCCCAAAACCCTTGTTCTTCCTCTGGGAAGTATCCAGAATTTGACCATCACATGACGAAGTAGAAGTTGTTTACAAAATCATCGCAGCTTGAGAACCCCAGACCTTGGCGAGGTGCTGCCCCGAGGCCGCGCCTGCAGCCAGCTGCTCATTCCCCCTCCGGCTTGTCACTGGCAACAGCATCACCTCCTTCTCCAAGCAGCTCCTCCCCGCACTCCCCAGTGTCACTCACAGGTAGCCACTGTGGCAGAAGCTGATAAAAATCACAGATCTTCAGCTTGTCTTAAAATCTTCACTGGTCTTGTCTCAGGCTTACTAGTTTGGTTTTTTTCTTTTTTCCTTTCTTTATCCTCTTTTATAAACAGCCAAGTGGGAGAGGAAAAGTCTCCAACTGTTTGCATAACGTGCAGTCATATATGGAGGTGCTGCAGCTCCACGAGCAGTTTGTTTTAATTGCTTCAAAGAGAACAGAGCCAGAACAAGTTGTCTTCCACTTTGTTTCCAGAGGGGAAAAAAACCTCAACGTCTGTGGCCTCTGGCATTTTAAAGCAGGATCTGCGCAACGTAGGGAGAGTGAGTGCTTGCTACAGCTGCCAGCAAGGGCAGGTCGCTGGATTCGATCCTGCAAGGAAGCAGAAGAGTCACATTTAATCTACCCCAAAAGGTGGTGGGGCTGAAGGCAGGGGTTGGTGACCCCCCGGTTGCTCCAGGCCCCTGGCCAGCACAGATCCCAGTGCTGCCTGTTCTGCCAGTACAGCTGAAGCCAGCGGAGCGTCCCTCCCAGTGCTGCCAGCTGGGTGACACGCTGCGGCCACCAGATGGTTTCCAGCAGCCCTTCCACACATGATGCTCCTGCCTCAGCTCCTACCTGCCTCTGCGGGGTTTCTTCAGAGGCAACAAACTGGTGAGACAGCAGGTGGAGGGAGGAGAATCAGCAGATTCCTTCCTGCCCTCCAAGTAAAGGGAGCAGTGGCTGGGGGACAAAGCTGGGAGCAGAGGACTGGGCTAAGCTACCTCTGCAGCTCCCTGGGGAGCCCTGGCACTGTGCTGCAGCTGCTCCCCCAGCTCCACACGTGCTCCCTGTGCCTCCTGCTCACCCTGAACTCCTCTGCATGACACCAGACTCATAGCCTTCCTATAAACACCCCCTAAATAGCTTCTCTGCCTGTGCCCCACACCCACAGAGAGGCGTTATGTGCCTTACACGACACAGAGGGTGTTTTCTGCCATGTAGGGCAAGCCAACCTGGAGGAATCAGGTGCCCCCACATTGTTCAGTGCTGACTGACCAACTAAGGAAGGAGCCTGACAAGCTCTGGACTGCTGAGCTCATCTTCCTGCCCAGAGGGAAGAGAGGAAGGCTGGGGGATCCTGGGGATCAAGCTAAGGAGAAGCCCACGGCCATGGTGATTTATGCCACACTACGGATCTAGGCCCACTTAGGAATTAACTTCTCTGTGCTTAGAACAAGCCCGGGTGGAGGATCTGGCAGCTGGAAGCCCCAGGCAGCACCAGTCAAAGGAGGCTGTGATCATACCCCAGCACCACGCCCAGCTCCTTGACGTGAACTCTCATCTGGCCCTTGAGATACTCGGACAGCATCTTGCTTTTGAAATAGAGCTCCTGCAGCCGGTCCTCCAGGTGCATGACACACTGGAAAGCAAAGGAGATGTGTCAGGGACAAGACAGCACCACACCCAAACCTCAGAGCAGAACAGCACAGACCCCATACATCTGCTGCCTTTTCTGTGGCCATGTCTAGGTGAATAATTATTAAGATATTCACTGGCAAGACTCTCACTATTGAGGTGAAGCCTTTGCACATTAAATCAGAATTAACGAGACAGCTGTCCTGCTCACAGAGCAGCATTTGAATGGACAGCTCGGACTGGGGATGCAGTGGCTACTGCAGTGGTGGCTGCAGATAAAGGCAGAACCTTACAGCCTCATTAACCCACAAAATGCAGGGACCCTTTACAAAACATCACCCTCTCTATTGTCATTCATACTTACGAAGTTTGGAGATAAATTATGCTTATAAAGCTGAAGAGTGGAATGAAGCAGGTTGGAGACGAGGCTCGAGACTAACACTTCTTTTCCCAGCTTATTATCAATCATTCTTCTCTGGCTACTGGCCACTTGCACTGTCCACTTGTCCGTGTCTGCAATAATGCAGACAGCTTCTGCAATTGGTTCATCCAGAACAGGATGCTGGAAATAAAAAGAGAGTAGGGAACCCTGAGAATGACCAGTGACAAGGGTCTTTGCACAAAACATGGCTATCCTGGATAGCAGGGATAGCATCTCAGACACTGCTCCGTGTGAAACACAGTCAGAGGTGCTCAGAATTGCCTTCCATCTACTAAGGACAGAGCTCTGTGGTCAGCAAGGCAGACTCAGCAGGACAGGTGCTATTTCACATTTTCTTCCAGGCTGGAAAGTGTGTCACTGGCTGGCACTTAAATATTTTTCTACTTGATATAGAGAGTTCTGATGTGTTATATATTTTAAAAACCTAAAACTGAAAGTATGGAAAACTCAACGTGCTGTTCAACATGGCTGCATTCAAGAGGATGGTTTCATTCCCAGTTGTCACTGGTTTCCCTTTGGTGGGAGGACCAGCAGAGGGAGTCAGGAACCAAGGCTGCGCCCAGCTCCTCCACTCCTTCCTTCCAAGTAGCGTTTCACCTCTCTGAAGCCAGGGAGGTTTTAGAAAGGGAGTATCTGGAACCCCACTGTCCTTCCCCAATGTACTGGGGGGCTGGAGATCAAAGGAACCACCTCTTTCCATAAAGTCCCTCAGGGACTTCACACAGGGTGCAGTTACTCTTTCACTTGAAGAGAAGCATATAAAATCTTTCCTATCCCCTCATGCTGCTGCCTCTGTTGCCTGAAGTTAATGACACTTCACAAACAGCTTTAACATTTGGCCTAAAACACAAGGGCTTAAACCAGCTCCTAGAACAACCACGGGGGGAGCAAAACTCCCCTGCAGGGCTGGGGACAACGACACAGGAACGGCCGCAGGAAGGGTCGCTGTGCCATCTGTGTAAGGTGTGAGGAACATCATTAACTCGTGGTGGGGAAGAAGGGGACATTTTGGAGGCTCCCCATGGATGCTCAGGGCACCAGACCCTCCTGCTGCCAGCCTGGACATGTCCCCATTCCCCTGGGGACACACCCCTCTGCTGGTGACAATGAAAGGGTGAGGAAACACCACACTTCCCAGGCATGCCACAGGGAAAAGCTTCTATGGAGATGATTCGCAGCACACAGGAGAAAGGTTGAAGCCCCTTAGAACAATTACATTTCTGTTGTTTCTTCCTTTTTCACTGGAGGCAGCCACTTTGATTACAACCCTAAACAAGGAATAATGGCCCCAAAACATGGAGCGTTCCTGCTGGCCTCACTGCAGAGAGCACGTTCTGCCCCTCAAGCAGCAGCACCTTGGTTAGACACAGAAAGAGGAGGGAGCAAAGGGAGCTTCTGCACAACCACTGCAGCAAGATCCGGTGCCTGGGAAGAGATGAACAGCAGCCTCATGGTTTGGTCTTGTCTAATATCATGCAACCATCAGCAGCTGCCACGTCCATAGGAGATTATTTCTCTTCAGCTTAGCACAGAGACTCATCTTCTCCAGGCCACAAGCCTCTCAGCTGCCTTCAGCCAGAGCCTTAAGTTTTTGTGCTCCAGATTTGCAGCCAAATAACCACGTTTTTCAGACACATTAATTGAGAGAGGAGAAAAAACTGGTGACCTGGGACTGGAGTAACCTGAAGAGAATTTTGACAGTAAATATTTCCACTTCCAGCGTGTTTGTATATTCAAAAACATTTGCCATTCCCTACTGTGACAAATACATTTACCAAATATAGCTCAATTACCTGCACAGCATGAGACAAATCTGACACCAAACAGTGCCTCAGCTTTTCATCACTTCCTATTCCTTGCAAAACAAAGTCAGGGACGTAGGATGAACAGTAGCCACCTAGTAAGGATCTTCCAAAATTGGCAATGCTGGGCTGGACAGAGTTCACTTCAACTAATTTTGACCTGCAAGAGAGGCATATGAAAGAGATGGACAACAGAAAACAGCACGTTCAGCTTATATAGAGGCTGCATTCTCCCATTTGTCATCTCTCTTCCAACTTCCATTCAAGCACTTTTTTTTTAAAAAGACTTTAAGGTCAGCTTTTGCAGTCAGACCATTGTGGAAGAACAGGACAGGAGCCAAGATCTCAATGCACAATTAATATTTTTTTCCAGACCACTGATCTCTCTATATTCTTTTACAACCAGCAAGCTCAAGAGACACTTTTCCAGCCACTGATGCCAAGTTAGGCTGCATTCCTCCAAACATGTGACATGAGAAGAGGCTGTGTCTTTTTTAGGCTCTATTACTGCTGAATAGTACTTACCCAGGGAAAGGAATCTCATATTCTTCTGCCCAGTCCTCTTGCTCTCCCCCATAATAGTTTCCGCTTGGTCTGCTTAGCTCATGACCTGTATCCTCACTTTCACTGTCACCCAGGGCACTGTCTGAACTCTCATTTCTTGGAATGTCCCAATCAATTCCCGGGGCGACCTTTTTCTCTACGTTTTCTCTGTCCCCATGGGGGACACGGATAGAGATTTTCTCTCTTTGGTCCTGCTCATTAAAGCAGTTTTTGTAGGTCTCTTGTCGAACAGAGTCCATAAATTTACAGAACTCGCTAGGCGGTTCGCTAGCCTTTGGACACAGCTTTTTAGAAAACTCTAACCTACTGTTGTGAGCAAGAAGGTCTGTAGCTGCTTGCCCTGGAATATCATCAATAGTCCGGGTTTCGATTGAACTCTCATCAGTAAAATATTCATCAAACAGACTCATGCTCTCAGCCCTGTACGGGTTTGGATTCCAGCCCGGATGCTCACTAGCAACTTGAGGAAAGGGTTCAGCTGTCCCAGAGTCTCTATTTTGGTCCTCAACAGTTTGTTTAGCTTCACAGATCTGATCAGCAGACACTCCTTCCTCCACTGCTGGCGGGCTGTGATGCCTGGCAATTTGTTCCACTACTGCCTGACTTCTGAGCTCGATGTCTGAGTCAGGTGACATGGAGTCTCCGATGAGGAAAGTCACCTTTGTCTGAGCTTCAGCAGCACTGCAAGGAAACGTGTCACAGAAGAGCTTATCTGGTGGCTTCTTCTCCACAGCAATCCCAGGTGACCTGGTGACACTGACTGCCTGGGTGCCTGGCTCCAGTGACTCTTCACTGCCCCACATGTTTGCTGTGGGCTCCAAGCCAGGTTCTGCCACTACACGTTTTTCTGGGGATGCTGACCCTGTGCACACCACTGTCTCCAGTTTTGTGTCCAGGCAGGGTCTGGGTTGGTTAACATCAGCAGGATCTTCCTGGCAGTCATCAGGAACAATAGTTCTGTTCTCATCTGAGGAAGATTCCAGCTCTACCTTAGGAGTGTTCTGAGCATCTTCCCTCTCTTGCTGTGAAGCACCCTCTATGTTTTGTGCAAGGGAAACGGGGCATTTGCAGTATCTACAGCTGCAGTTGGAGGTTCTCACTTCCTCAGACTCAGTTGGGAGCAAGTTGCCCCTGTTCTTGTGCATTGTAACAAGCACATACTCAGATTCTTCTACTTCTCCTTTCTCCAGCGTGGTAGTTATAACAGTTCCAGGCATGACGATGGCTTCATCCTCCCCGTTTTCTAAAAGATGTGTCTCTTGGAGCTCAGAGCATCTGATGAAGTAAGTAAGGAAATAAAGCAACCTCTGCACCAGGTCGTGCCTTTTGCCAACCACAACTGTTTTTGCTAATCTCACTGGTGATCCAATAGCCCCGTACAGGTCACCTAGAGCAGGAGAGAGAACAGACCATTATTTTGCATCTTTAAAATAACTAATTCTTCTAACAGACAGTTGTGGCCAGGTTTCAAAGGCCAGGTCTACAACAGAAAAATACCACAGCAGAAGAGTGAGGAAGAATCCCAGAGATGCTGCTGGTATTGCTGTAAGGTGACACGCTGGTCAGGGGGACATCTGATCTCACATATTAAGGAGCATTCACACCACCTAACTTCAGTCCCCAGCTTTGGAGGCTTGTCTCCTGGGTTCCTTATATAGTCATGGGACAGAGGAGGCATCTGCTCTGAATTACTCTGGACCGTCTGGGAACTGGGCTGAACTCTCACCCACCAAGAGAAAGCTGGAAGGAGAAACAGACCAATGCCAAGGACAAGGGCGAAAAGGGACAGTGGTGGGTGCACAGCTGAAGCCAACCTGCTTCTCTTTCCTCCCCCTGAGGCAGCATCCAACTCTGGGTTGGATAGATTGTTCTGGCTGTACTCCAGAGCCACCTGGGGAGTGCCCATGCATGGGCTGTGTCACTCCTTTGCCTGCTGTATCAAGAGTATGTTCATTTCTTATCAAAAGGTGGATTTCCATGATTTGCTCTTCCCAGAAGCAGGTTACTGAGAGCAGCAGCATCCCAGAAAAGAAAAAAAAATAACTTCCTTGTAGAGGGAGGACCAGAGGGGGGACTGGAATCCTCCATCATCACCACAGCAGGTGACCTCGAGACCTGGCACAGATGACTGAAGAGGGCTTTACTTTTTGGCTGCCATTTTATAACTGATATTGCCTTAAGAAATTACAGCACATGCTAAAAAAAATAAAAAACAACAGTGATCACCTCTAAGCTTGAAATACACACTTTTCTCTAAATATATTAACTTGTGGGGGAAGTGACAGGCATGCATACACCCCACTGCAGGCACACCCTTTGAGGGAGAGCTGTTGGATGGGTCAGAGATGTTTGCCACATACCCAGCTGTGCCCAGAGGGGGTTGTAGGGGTGAGTTTTGGCCAGCATGTCCACGCTCTGGGAAGAATGTTTTTCCAGGAAGATTCTTATAGGTGGCTGCCCGTTCGGCATGACGGTGGGAACCCAGGCCAAGTGGTTAGTCAGGACTGCAGTCAGCAAAGCTGGTAAAAACCTGGAAGCAAAACATTCAACATCTTTTTTTCCCCAGGTACACACTCAGGATATTAAACTGACACTGTTCTACAGCCTGTATGGATCAGGGATTGCAGAGACAACCTGACAAAGCTGGCATCATCCCTTCAGTCTCAGTTCTTCAAGGAGAGAAGATGGGGCTGTACCTGCCCTCTCACCCCTGCAAAGCTCTTTCTTAGGGCACACATTTAACACAAAATTAAGTATTTTAAACCTGTGGCATCTCAGTTCCTCTGTTTGGCAATAGTTATTAGGCTTCCTATTTTGCAAGCTGCGTGTTGTAAAACATCTCAAACCAACTTTGTTTGCTGCAAGAAAACAGTGATGCTGTGTGGCCTCTGCACTTCAAGGACATCCCAAGCCCTTAAGATCTGTGAGTGTTGATGAGAAGAAGGGCTACTGCTGCCAGACCAGAAAAATAGCTGGGTGCCATGTTCTTTCACACAACTGTTAAGCCATTTAAGCAACAAATGACTCCTCCTTTTAAAAAATAAAACCCCTTAAAGTTTCCAGGGAGGCTGTTGATGCCCCATCCCTGGAGGTTTTTAAGGCCAGGCTGGACAAGGTTTTGTACAACCTGGTCTAGTGGTAGGGTTCCCTGCTCATGGCAGGGGGGTTGGAAATTGATGATCTTTAAGGTCCCTTCCAACCTTAATGATTCTGATTCAGTAGCTCAGCCAGAAAGGCTGTGCCCACACTCTGGCAAAACCGTTTTCACTAGCTAAGCAAGTTACCTGAAAAACCCTTCTGAAAAGCGTCAGCTATCTGATTTATTGTAATTACAGAGCACGGTTTCTGCTCCGTGGAGGGAAGACCTGGCTTCCCAGTCCCCTTCCCGGGCAGGACGAGGGTGCAGAAGCACAGCCCAGGGCCCTGCCTCCCAGCAGATGGTGCTGGTGGCCCCCGCAGGGACACAGGCAAACGCCACCAACTCATGGCTTGGGAACAGTTCACCAGCCTCGGGGGCCCTACAGTTGAAATGTAGCCCCATTTGCTGCCTGGAGACAGCTATGGGAGGAAATCGGTTTGAAAAGGATGCGGGACATTGTTTTTGCTCTTGCTCCCATCAGTATAAATCTTGCTGTGTTTTAAAATAAAGGGAGCGAACAAAGCCAAACAAATGAACATTTAAACATAATCAAGATGTACAGGGCTCAGAATTGCAGGGATCAAATGGGCTAATCCAAGAAATAAGCTTCCACTGAAGAAAGAAAATACATCTAAACCCCTCACAACCTCCTGCTGCAGTGAGGCAGGAGAGGGAGGACCACACTGACTGCTAATTGTCACCCTCCCGCCGGGGGGAGAGAAAAGATGACAAAGCTGGTGGCAAAGCTGGCAGCTGGGGAGCAGCAGCCCCTTCCCCACCCTGCAGAGCAGCTTCCCCAGAGTGAACAGCTGCTCTTGCAGTGCCTTTCCCACTCAAACTTCACATTTGTGCTCATTTTAGGGCTCCAACGGAGCCGAACGCCTTAAAAACTTCCCCTCTTTGTGCCCTGGGGAAGCAGGATGAAGTGTTGACAAAAGAGTAAATTTATCAGACTCTCCAGAGTTCATCAAGAACATTCTCTTTCTCAATTTTAACAACCACTCAGGGCTTTGTCCTGAGGGCAGAAAGGTGAGCCCTAATCAAGCACACAACTTCCTTAGTGGCATATTACAGGAGTCAGGTTGAAGAGCAGTTTGTGGTCAGACAGTGTTACAGACACAGCTCTGACTGACTGTCTAACCCTGCTCATCATATGATAACTGATTTGGAAAGGCAGATTAATGCATTTCATAAGGTGTGTTCACCCCCTTCCAGACATACACACCCATCACATGCTCCCTATGGACATGTTTCCAGTGTTCAGCCTCTACCAAGATAGAGAAAGGGGAAGCAGGTATTTAATGAGTTATTTTCTTACTTCTTCTTTGTTTTGGAAAGGAGATATTTATGGATGGTCTTTTGATTCTTTGATTGCCCAGATTTTAAAAACAGACTCAAAAACTGGCTTGCAATGCAAATGCATAAACATGTAAGCAATTTAAAAACTAAAATCCACCATACTGGTTTTTAGATGCATTTTCCATCAAGAAAGTGAATTCCTTCATGAAGCGATGGCAAAGCTGGTTCTTCTCTGGTGTCCCTGACATCATAGTAAGCCAGACAGGCTCCCCAATCCGTGGCATCGTGTAGAGGTTGCAAATAGTTGTTCTAGAAAACAAAACCAAAACAATCCAGCAGAGTAAACACAAGAAGGAAAGGCTGATACCCCAGCTCAAAGAATTTACTGCAACATTCAGTTCCAGCTGTCATTTCTGTCCGAAGCAGCACTTCTCTCATCAACCATTACCCAAACCATGGTGCTCATTCAACAGGATGAATTCACCCTTCCACCTTGGAGAGCTGAGCCTCGCAGGTTCTTTCTTCATGCATCCACCTCAACTGATCCCAAACACAGTAACATCCCTGTCAAAAGTCAAGAGCTGCCCTGTTCCAAATGGTGACAAAATGAATGGTTTTCTGTTGCTATCTCCCTGCTTTCTCTCCATTTCCTTCAAAACATGCAAATCCTCCAGTTCTGCCTGATTTATGACTAGGGCAAGTTTACGTGTATCTGACCTATAAAAATAGCTTAACTTCCTCCTTGCTTTCAAAAGCTGGTGTGCCTCCAGGCCAAACCCACCCAAGTGTGGATCTCTAGAGCAAAGGACCAGGTTATTTCTTCAGCTTTAAATATAACGTATGAGAGTCAAAGTTACCCCATGATTTCAAGGACTGTGCACCTACCCACATCCTTTCTGTACAGAGGACAGTAAGTGTATGATTAAAACTTTGGCTCTGCAGTAAAACATCAGATTAAAACTCCTCAGATTACTGTTGAACTCCTCTTAAAACCTAAACTAAATTACAGTTTTAAGTACAATGCTTGTGCTATGACACTATGGGAACCTGCATTTTCATCACAGTAAAAAAGTAAGCCTGAAAAAAGCCAAAACAAAGGAAATGACTGATCAATTCAGGCTTCTCCCCAACTCATGCACTATTTTTTTTTCTAGAAGGGATCGTTTTGCTCCACAAGACAAAGATTTACATTATCCCATCATCCCTAGTACCACCCCTGATTTATAAAGATCTTCTCTGGATGTGTTTGTCTAAAAATTTATAGACACTTCCAGAAGTAAAGCAATGGTTGTGCACATCAGGCAGGCAAACACACTCGAGAAGCAGCTGCCAAATCTTCTGTGGTTTAGTGTTTAAAGTGAAACTCCCTGGGAAGCAAGAGCCTGGCACGGCACACGGGGCCGGCACGAGGGGCACTGGGGGAGGAAGGAATTCTTCCCTGGTTATTCTGCAGAGAAGAAAGCAGCTCTACAGTGACCAGGCCCCACAGAGCAGCTCCTTGAAGGGCAGCAAAGGTGCCTGTGCAGAAGTTGCTCAAGGAGAAAGGGGGAGAGGGGAGGCATTTTTGGCTTCTTTTCTTTTTCCTATCAGTTTTCATTAAACACAAAATCCATCCAGTGTGTTCACAGTACTCAAAATTAACCCTGATTTCCTCGGATTTTCAGACATTCCACTGCCACAGGCATGATGGGAAAGCCAGGAAACAGGCAGTGGGCTAGAGAGAGGGAAAAGCAAGTTTCCTTTCTGCTCACCAGCCCCTCGGTGCTCAGGGCTTGTAAGTCTCTGGGGCAGTTTAGGGCAGCCTGGGAGCTGCTCTATGTTACCCTCTGCTGCTGGGCCTCTCTTGGGACAAAAACACAGCCTGGTCACAGACCTGGGCCCCACAGTCCTGCCAGGTTAGACATGAGTGGGGCATGCAGCCAGGGACACAGGCACCACGGGGGGACCGGGGGTGTCTGGCGGCTCTTGGGGCACCTGGATTTCATGCCTTGGCTTTAGTGAGTTGGGACTAGAGGTGGGATTATTAAGGGAAAACTTTCTGTTCACAGCCCATTAACTGGAGTGGATGCTAAAGAGGCCCAAAGAAAGGGAGAAACCCCAAGTCCAGAGACTTCAAACTCAAACACTTTCAAAGCTCAAAACAAGTACTGAAAGTTACACCCCCCCCAGACACAGCTGACCATAGGAGCTGAAGATAAACTGTACAGCTTAACATAAAATACATCTTACTTCTCCTTCACATGCAAACTAACCCAAGCCCAGCCTCTTGCAGCTCGCCTGTTTTGAAAAAAAAAAAATAATAAAAAAATAAACTACTCTATCCTAAAACCAACATATTAAAATATTTGTTTTCGTTGAAAAGATAGACCGAGTCTTGTGATTCGTTATTTACTATTCTGGTAACCCTGGCTGCATCTGCAGCTGATAGTGTTTCCTCAGAGAGAGATCAGATTGCCCTGGGCAGCAGCCAGCAGGCATGTGACTGCAGTGCAGGGATGGGACAAAAACACAGCCTGGTCACAGACCTGGGCCCCACAGTCCTGCCAGGTTAGACATGAGTGGGGCATGCAGCCAGGGACACAGGCACCACGGGGGGACCGGGGGTGTCTGGCGGCTCTTGGGGCACCTGGATTTCATGCCTTGGCTTTAGTGAGTTGGGACTAGAGGTGGGATTATTAAGGGAAAACTTTCTGTTCACAGCCCATTAACTGGAGTGGATGCTAAAGAGGCCCAAAGAAAGGGAGAAACCCCAAGTCCAGAGACTTCAAACTCAAACACTTTCAAAGCTCAAAACAAGTACTGAAAGTTACACCCCCCCCAGACACAGCTGACCATAGGAGCTGAAGATAAACTGTACAGCTTAACATAAAATACATCTTACTTCTCCTTCACATGCAAACTAACCCAAGCCCAGCCTCTTGCAGCTCGCCTGTTTTGAAAAAAAAAAAATAATAAAAAAATAAACTACTTCTATCCTAAAACCAACATATTAAAATATTTGTTTTCGTTGAAAAGATAGACCGAGTCTTGTGATTCGTTATTTACTATTCTGGTAACCCTGGCTGCATCTGCAGCTGATAGTGTTTCCTCAGAGAGAGATCAGATTGCCCTGGGCAGCAGCCAGCAGGCATGTGACTGCAGTGCAGGGAACCCTCCATGCCAGCACAGGCAGCAATGGCACAGAAACCAAGGGCAAGGATTAACTGCCTTCCAGCTCTGCAAGCACGCAGGGGAACGCTCTCCTGCCATTTATTAAAGAACAGAAGCAAACAATAAAAAAGAAATACATAATAAAAAAAAACCACAGAAAAATCAAACCAAACCAACAACAAAAAAAAACAACCCCACAAAACAAACAGCCAGCAAAACACTACAGGGAAGCTGACTGGATTTAAAAAATAACAACCATTGAAAAATCAAATGGGTTCCTTGGCAGGCTGCAGGGAGCAGCCCCCTCCCCACCACACACACACCAGCAGTGAGGGAAAGTTCAGCTAATGAGACTCTGTTCTTGCAAGGGTTCCAGAACATTTTAAATGGTTTATATTTGGAAATGCTCCTGGGAGGCTGAACTCCAGCCTGGAGCTTACAGGCACCTTGGCACCAGCCACGGGTGCAGCAGGGGCTGGGGGGGGGCTCCTCAGCAAACACCTTTGCATCCAACAGTGTGTTGAAACCAAAGGCCAGCCCAAGCAAACAGAAAGGAAACCTGAGCAAAACTCCTCCTGAAACCCTCTGGGGTTTGCTGGCTCTGCATGGCAGTGACATGATGGCCACCCCAGCACAGGATGAACAGGCCCTGGGTGCTCCCTGCCTCCTGCCTCACCCACCCCCAAACACACCTGCAAACCTCCCCAGCCTTACTCCTGGGTTTTACTACCAGTCCCCGGCATCTTCTCCCTGGTGCTGCACCAAAGGAGGCAGATGGTTCCTCCTGGAAGAGAGCAGCCCCCTGCAGCTGAAGGGAAACACTTCCCACCCTCGGTGCTGTGCTGTTCCAGAGCTGCAATCCGAGGGTGAAGCTCAGCATCTCTTTAGGGATTGTTCCAGCAAAGAAAAAGCATCAGCAGTTTATAGAACTTCATTCACAAGCATTTGCTCATTCCTTCCTTCCAAAGACGATTTTTTTCCTTAAAAAGGAAAAAGAAAACACAGACAAAAATGCTGCAGTGAGTGCAGGAGCAAGGCTACCCCAAGCAGGGAGCCCAGATGACTCGGTGCCCATGCACAGGGGTTAACCTGCCCCACTGAGCAAAACGCACCTCTCAATTCACAGCAGCATAAGCTGCTTAACAATTACTGGGATAAAATAAGATCAAATTTGGCTGCCAGAAAGCAGAGAGAGGTGTTTCCCTAGGCCCTGTGCTCAGTGTTTCCTTGCCAGTCTGTGTATTTGCCACACAGGTATTACAGTCAGGTGCATAATCTGTATTATCAATGTGCTGCTCTGGCCTCAGGGCCCGGGGGACTTGAAACGTTTATGCAAGTACAGTAGCTTATTTCGTAAGTCATGTGTCTGCCCAGCTGACATCCAAAGAGTTTTAAGCCTCTAAGTCAAGTGGCAATGGCTAAATCCATCAGTGCTTTAGAAAATTAAAAACTGCTGTAAAGTGAATAATGACTGATGGGTAGGCCTGGAGCTCCCCTCCAAGCTGATGCTGAATTTATCAATAGCATCCATTTGCAGAAGCAGCCTGGGCCGTTCAGGAAGGCAGCTTGGCTCCCTTCCCAAGGTCAGACAACCAGAGCAAAGGAAGGGCTCTGTTTTGCTGTCTTCTTTTCTGCCCCTCAGCCCTCAGTGCAGGCAGGTACTGCCTGTGAGTGCCCAGCTGGCCCTGCAGCCAGCTCCCTGCCATGCCCTGCTTGCAGGCTGTCCTGCAGCCACAGCACCTGCCCTCTTGCAGGTGGCTGTGGTACCAACCATCACACTCCCTCCTCCCTCCACTACTGATCAACACACAGTGTGTAGCTGCTCCCCCAGGTGATTTGAGGTGATCCTACTCACAGAGGGTGCACGTCAGCTACACTTGAACCTCTGAAAGCCTAGAGTTTTACAAGAAAAAAAACCAACCAACAACAACAAAAAAAACAACCAAAAAGTTCTCCTTAAAAAATAAGTTAAAAGAAATAAATAGACGGCAACGAGTTAAACCAGCCCAGGATTATGCTTCAGAAACACCAGCCCACTGGAGTCAGCAGCCTCCTTCCCCTCCAGCACAGTTTGCTAAGAGGGCAGGAATCAACACAAGACTCAGGTTCACCAAAGGACGCAGGCTCCTGACTTCCCCGTGACTCCAGGGGGAAAGCAGACGCCTGAGGAGATAATAGTGGCCTAAATGGGTTTGCTGACCCTGTGCCAAAGCATCTTTGCACCCAGCCTGCAGTCCTGGAACACGCCTCTTTTTCTCCTTCCCTCCTCCAGACACGCATCGCTGCGCTTTGAAAGGCCAGTGGCTCTTGCCTGCTCCAGAAATGCTTCTCTTGGTGGCAGCCCACACTGTCCCACGGCCACCCGAGGCACCACGGGGGGACAAGGGCCCTGCCTGCAGGGCCAGCCCGGGCTGGGGGCACCAGCTGGTGCCTCTGAAGGCAAAAAGATGAAAAAAAAACCCAAACAAACCAGAATTGCCGAAGTCTGCCCCCTCAGAAAATTCACTTATAGGAAAATTAAACTGGATTTAATTCACCTCCTTTACACTGTTAGAGAGTAATATTTATATCACCATGGAAACCTCTGCATAAAACTGGTAGTTAGACACAGGTTTCCAGAGCGGTTTCGCAAGGGCCCTGGCACGTGAGGGACACGGCGGCGGCTCCGGATGCTCCCAGTCCTCCCACGTCCCATGGGACCTTCTTTCCCTCCTCAGCCTGACAGGGGCAGCTTCCCTCATCCCATCCCAGCTCAGCACCCCTGAGCTTCCCTCCAAGGAGGAAAAAAAGCTAGGAAGGGGGATTTGGCTTGTGTTCTCAGTGTTATTTTTCCTATCGTTCGAGTCAGGCCGCGCGCCCCTCCCCACCGCTCTGGAACTGTTTAACTTGGGAAAACAAAGGAGAACGGGCAAAGTCCAATGAATGTGTCTTGAGGGGGAATGGTTTGGGGGAAATTTGGGGAAAACAGCTGGGGAGTTGGTGTTATCAGGGGGCAGGAACGCAGAGAAATGGCTCCGGGTGAGAATGGGAGGAAAGGCAGCGCAGGGCTGAGGGAGCAGAGGAACCACCGTGGCTGCTCAGAGTTGCTGAACTCGTCTCGGCTCCCGGCAGTCACGAGCTCCCTCCGCTCCCTCTTGGCACTGCTGCTCCCATCCCTCTCTTCCCGCAGGCCCACGTGCTCTCTCTTCCCTGCCTCCTGTCCCTACTGAACCTACCCTCTGCCCTCCCTCACAACCACCCGAGCTGAGGCTCTGAAAAAGTAATAAACAAAAATAAAAGACATTGTGCCTTGATCCTGCAACATCACCTAATCCATGGAATTCAGGCTGTAAGTGGAATTGTAGAAAAATGAATGAGCCCTCAGGATCCTGCACTGTTCTGATCTCAGGGTTGTTGTTGGTTTTTTTTTTCCACAAGAAAAGCCTTCTGTCTTCTATAAGGTCTTTAAAAAGCAGCTCTAGACTGGCTCTAAAGGAAGTACCCTGCCCCTCCCCTCCGAGAGGAGATGAATCACTTGAAACAGACGGATTTCAGCTTAATTCCCTCCCCATGACTTAAAACTATGAAAAGAAAATACAGTTAAATGCCAGGAATGTGCTTATCTACGTTACTTTGTGTATTAACTGTTGAATAGTGATGCTCTGCAGGTACTGATAGCACAAGATTAGAGGGCTGCATTTTACTGTGTGACAAAGATAGTGCTTCTTAGTAGCTGGTTATCTGAAACTCCTTCAGAGCAGCATTTAGAGCCTTGCTTTGCTCACACATCAGGAAAACGGACACTAGAGGAGGATTTCCCTAACATGGCTTTGCAATTCTTTCCACCCCCCCAATCTCAATAGGCCATGAAAGGTAATTTAAGATGTTGCTCAGAGGTTGGTTACTACCTAAAGCCCAGAAACCTTTGATCATCTACGTCCTGTTCACACCAACCCCCGATGGATACACACGCAACCAGCTTACAAAGCCTCAACACCACCAATACCTTCATTGGACTTAGTTTTGCAGAAGACTTCAGACATTACATTCCTGCACTAAGATCTTTCTAAATCAGACACGAGTGCTTTTGAAGACAGACACAAAAGGCAGGAGACACTCTGCTCACCTGAATTCATTGAGGGCATCAAGGATTCTGGTGTACGCCAAACTGCGCTGGCTGGCATCAGCTGATCTGCGACTCATTTTCATAGCCTTGAAAGCAACCATTAAGAGACAAGTAACACACAGCTACAGAAGCATGGAAAATGAACACGCAGTCATGTGTCTGACTTTATCTTTCATGCAAATAATTTTTTTTTAAGTGATAAAACGATGGTACAAGTGCCAGCTTTCATATCTGGGGGAAGATAGGTGAGGCACATGCACTTGCAACCTCTGCTTCTGTGCTTTTCATCATTCGAGGCATAAAAGGGGTCAAAGTTTTCACTGCAGTGGCAAAGTAACCACTAAGTGCTTCCTAGAAGAGTGATTTGAAGCAAATCTAACTGCACATTTCAAACTTCAATCTTTGAAAATTTCCTACACATCAGAATCAGGGGGTAAAATAAAGGATAAAGATAAAAGTTCAATATTGATTTACAGCCTGGAATAGGCTAGAGACCGGGTCTGCCATCCTTTAGGCTGACACAGCTGAAGCAGGGAGGTAGATGTGGCCTTAAAAGCAGCTTTTCCCCTTGGCTGATCCAGGGCTTGCTGGGAGCTCTCACAGCCCAGTGACTGCTGCAGCTTTCAGCACCCCCTGTAGCTAGTGCTGCATGCTCCTTCCTCACCCCATGGTGTGCTTTTGCTAGCAGTAAGAAACACCATCAAAGCTGTTGTGCAGCAAAGCTCTCTTCTGGTGCAATTCCAATACCCCACAGCAAGTTGATCCCACTTTGTTAAACTGGCAACAAGACTTAGGAATTAAATCGGACAAGGTGGGGGAAACGTAGAGCAATACAAGTGCAGGAATCAAAAGAGACTGTGTTACCTGTTCTATTGCGCTCTTCAGTTTGTTCATGTGACTCTCAAAGAGAGGAAAGTGTGAGAAGAAGAACTCATTAAATTTGTTGTTTTCATCTTCATCTCTTGAGAGTGAAAAAATAACTCCAATTGCTATCTTTTTCTTCCTAACAATCCCTGGGCTAGGACCAGAGCTGTCATCTGACAGGTTAAAGCTTTCATCCATAGACCTTGAAGCGTGAAAAAAATAGAAAGTTAATGTAATCCTCTGCTTAAAGTTGTACTGTGGTTTCCTGTGTAATTCAATTCCTAAACGTTTAACTTCAATAAACACCTTTTGTTTGCATGTGTTGTCAAATCATCACCTTTGATAACACCCACTTTGCAATTTTTTTTCAAGCAGCCATTAATTGATCCTGCAAGCACAAAAGCTGGAGCCAGATCCCAAGTCTTTGTGGGATCTGGATATGGTATTGTAGTTCTCTGTCTCTGCCAAGAATTTGTGTTTTGAGTAGGATTTTAGGGCTTCTTATCCTCCAAAGTACAGCCTACAGGTCTATGTTTTGCTGAAGGCTTTTTAGTTTGTGCAAACCCAACGAATGCCACAAGGAACACAGATACTAAAAAAGATCAGGCGTTGAAGAGCAGCCTGACTTACACCTCAGTAAATACCCCACAGAAAGCAACAGCAAGAGCAGATGTACATATGCAAGAGCAGAATCAAGCTGACAAAGGTGGAAAACTTGTGGGCAGCAACCAGCATTTGCATTCCCATCTCACCATCGAGGGAAGACCCCGTTCTCCAGGCTGGTTGTCTGGCTGCGACGCCAACGCCGCTGGTAACTGCTGGCACAGCTTTTGTTGAACGAGGAGCCCGGGGAGGGAAATGGAGTGATGAGCAGACTGCTAAGAGATGCTGCAATCACAAGAGGAATACATAAAAATCTCTCCAGCATAAAGAGCATCTGGAAAATAACACTAGCAACTAAACAAAGCCCCTCAAGATAAATTGGTGTTGCTAATCACGCGCCTTCTCTTTTGCTTATCTATGCTTATCTCAAAATAACCAGTTTACAGTAACATGGACAAGATATGCAAGCACTGCAAGGGTGGGACAGTCCTGCAGCTTTCCCTTGCAGACAGTACAGAGGCTGCTCCTTGCTCATCACACCTGAACATCAGGAAAGAAATTCTTTGTGGAAAGGAATAGCATTCATCAACATCCTCAACCACCTTTCCAATCCTAACCTGAAGTGTCCAATATCCCATAACTGAGGGCAAGAGGGGAGTGTTGTGGAGGCAAATTCATGTTCCAGCATTACCATCCTTCTCCATTGGAAGAGGAGATCACAACTGGTATTGTTTAGAAATGCTGCAAACTCATTTCAAGACGCAGGTTGGCCTGCTGATTTGCAGCAAGGTTCAATACATCCCACTGCTGGTCAGATCACCGCTGCGAGGTCCTAATGCAGCACCCCTGGCACCTACAGCATTGCTACATGCACATACAGCTATGCTTTAATGCTTCTGTATAACAAACAGCACAGGAAAACCTGTTTGATGATGTCCAGACATCTCAGTGACAAATATCTTTCGTGTGCAGAGGGTTAACACACAGCACTGACATTACCCGATCTCGCTATGCCGCTGTCCCTGTCCTCATTCTGCTCCCTCCCAGGCATATCCATAGGGTTGCTGTGAACTGTAAAACAAGGAATACCAATTAGCAGGGGAATATACAGTTCCTTTCTTGTTTGCAGATCTCCATGTAATTAATGAAACAAAAACATGCTCATTAATTCAGATCAACAGCACTGCACAAGGCCATCACCAAGAAAGGCTGCTTAGCTGAACAAGCCAAAACAGTTCTCTGAAAAGTTTGAAAGTATTTTTTGGAAGTTCATGCACTTACTTTAGTACAAACTACCACTAGTACACTTTGGTTCTTTACACAGATATTTTTCAAGAAATTTTTAATGTACCAAAAGCATGTTGGTTACAACCACAGTATTCAGTGTACAGACAAAAAACACCAATGAACAATTCAATTTGTATACCAGCTTTCTCAGGTATTGTTTACATGATTCTAAAAGGATTTTACAATGCTGTCTTGAAGAAAATAAACATTTTTAAACTGTGAGCAGTGCATTGGTTGTTCAACTAAGCCATAAGCTGTTCAGATTCACAGTCTGCACATACACACGATCAAAAGTGTATCAGGCTCAATAGTCTTTAAATGTGATCTATTTTACAGATGTGTGTGAAATAAAACCTATTCAGCCATGGAAATAAGACCCAGCCACTAAAAACAAGAAATGTCCACTTCAAATCAACTTAGGTTAGCTTTAGTTTTTATAGTGAGGTTGAAACAAGTCCAGATCAAAATAGCTTGACGCTATTGTGAAATATTATTTCCAGAAATATGAAATCCACCACTGAATATTATTTCCAGAAATATGAAATCCACCACTGAATATGTTTCCAAAACAACACAACCAAACAACCCCAAAGAGGACTATTAAAATGCCTGCTGTCCTCTGGGGGTTTAAAGCATGCATCCAGAAAGGTGAGCAAGCAGACATCACTGTCCATTTTGTATTTATAAATAAAATAAAATGAAAAAAATAATTAAAAAAAATATATCTTATTTCCAGGGCTAAACTACAAATCCAGACAGTTTTGTCACACCAGCTAGACTAGCCACACAGCACAGCACACAGCAAACCTGCAAAGAAAGAGGCGCTCCGGATCAGGCGGAGCGGACCTTGCTCTGAGAATGCCCGCCTGGGGCTGCAAAGCTGTGAAAGACCTACATGGCAAAACGTAAAATACACATGAAAGAATGAGGTTAGTAAAGCAGAACAGTCTGTAGGGAGGGGGCCAGGGCAGGGAGAAGATATAAGCCAACGGATATGCAGACTAGCGTGTGCAGGAGAACAGCTCTTACACTTAATGAGAGCGTTGGTTGATTCAAGAACCCTGCTTTAGATAGTCTATAGTTGACTACACAGTAATGACAGAATTAAAAGAATAGGCCCAGCTCTACACTGTCTCCCATACCAGGATGGGGTTTCCCTCCAATGCTTTTAATTACTTTTTTTAGTTGAAAAATGATGAAGGCTCAAAGCCCAGCTCAATCACAAACAGGAGATTCATGGTGAAGTGTGTTTGTTTTAAGATCCACACTGGTGGGGTGGCTGAGGAACCCTGCTGGGGTGGCTGAGGAACCCTGCTGCTGAAGGTGATGGGCAGAAGGAGGGAGCAGGCAGGCAGAAACTGGTCTTAGAACCAGAAGAAACTTGTAGGCTGGAGGAGTTGTTCTAAGAACAATCAGGACATCAGTTTAGTGAAATTATCATATAGAAAATAAATGTTAGCAGTCTTAGTAGTCCATTTTAAAATTAAATGTCCAATTAACATATCTACTGAATTGTAGATATACCAGGGAAGGAGTGTATTTACTGTACACAGTGCCAGGAAAAATGCATGGGTATTTTTAATGAGTTAATCGTCAGTCCCCCTCCTAAATTTGAGGCTATTGCTCTCTCAAAGTCTGATTATACAAAAATCAAAAGCTGCACCTCAACCAAGCTCCCTTCCACTCTCTCAGGTCTTCACTCATCAAAGGAAGGGACATGACCAGTGCTGCTTTGTTGGTTTGTGTGTTTTTTTTAAACCAGCATATCTAAAAAAAGCAGCTTGTAAATAGTTCTCAACCAAAACACACAGACCCTTCTCCTGTCACAGGCTGGGTTGGGCGGGTTAGTCAGGAGCAGCCTTTGCTGCTCAACACCCTTGTTAGAAATGCTGCAGTTACAGATTAACTTCTTCACCTCCTGCACCCACAGTTCCCCCCGCGCTGAGATGGGAACTGTCAACAAACACTGTGGAACCCGCTGAAAACTTGTGCGGCTCAACTGCAAAGAAAGGTTCAGCATCCTCTTCTAGAAGGCAACCTCGTTCCTTCTTGATGCCCACCCCTGCACCCAGATGCCTAAACCACTGGGGCAGATCCCAGGGTGGTATTTCCATCCACTTGGTGGGGAAGAGCCGCCCTCCCTATGGAGCCGGACACGGATGAACATGTGGCACTGGCTGCACCTCCATCATCCTGAGCCCACACCCAGGAGCTGCGTTATCTGAATTTGAGCTTGCAGTTTAGATGGCACTGGTGATACAGCAAACTTCTGCCAAGCAGAAACCACAACAAAACCCCAGCAGTAGATGAAGTGAGGTCCTTCAGATGAGGCACCTCACTCATGCACTGCGAAAAATCACAACTGAACTCGGAAAGGAATTCTGAATGTTAAGAAGAATGCATCTCTGACTGTCCTGACTTGGTAAATTCAGGAAGCACTTAATAGGTAATAGGTTCTTGCAGCTTTATTGGCTTCCCTTATAAGTATTAGGAATTATTTGAATGAGGTGTACAGCTTTTGAGCCTGAAAAGCATTTAAGCCCATGCTTAGGTATAAGTCTTACCCAGGTCAGTGTGAAGGAAAGAAGTAAACACACCAAACACACCCAGCAAGAATTAGGACCATGTCAAAGCCAGAAACCCAGTTACAGAAATAAAGTCACCAAATTCACTCTTTGCTTCCAACCCTAGAAAAGTGTATTTTACATACAGCAACATTCTGGAAAGCAAATGTAAAAAGAAGCCCCTTATTCCACCTACTACACCAGACATTTACTTGGAAAGTCAATACTCTAAACCAAGGGCAAGGAAGGATGTGCTGAAGAGCTTGCCAGGACAACCAAGCCCTAAAGTACAGTGTCTTTACTATCAGCTTCACCATTCCCACAGGGAAAAGCCAAAACCTTCCCCCCTTTCTGTAACCTAATGGTCACAGAGCCTTCACATACAGCACTTCCACACAGCCCAAGAACCAAAGGTGCCAGACAGCCTTTCAAGGCTGCTTAGCTTCCATGGACAGAGAGAGAGAAAGAGGAGAGAACAAAAAGATATTCTGTCTAATCTGATCAAAAACTCCAGTGCAACCAAGCAAGCTTAAGATATCAGGAAATAAAATCTGTAATTACCTATATTCCCAAGAAGTCCATTCATAATTGTGCTGTGGTCAGGCTTTAACGTATTGCTGTCTTGATTAATGAACTCAAGACTGTCCTGCAACCTACAACAAACATAAAACATACAACAGTGAATTGCAGTTCAGTAGAACACAGTGTTACTTCCTGACAGCCCAAATGGAACAGACAGGATAGGAACACAGGCTTCTACTAGATAAAAGCCTTCATAGCCTAAGCCACATTCTCAGGTGGGTTGATTAACACACAGAGAATTAAACATCCAACCCTCTGAAGCCATATGTTTTTATAACACTTTTTTCTTCATTTTGGACTGAATTCCCCAGCTCCAGTGTTCTTGTTCTATCCTCATCCCTCTTCCTTTGGTGGTTGCAGGTACTTCTGTTCCTTACATCAAGATTCACCAAATCAACATTAAAGGAATGGTTCCCTCCTCTGTTTACAGCAAAATGTGGTGAAGACAACCACAAGGTGGGAATCCCAGTGACAGGATGTAACAGACCAGGGAACAAGAAGTTATTTTTCTAGAGGAAGAGTCTGGAAGGTCAAAAAAAAGCCTTTTGTGTTCTTACATTCATCTGCTTGTGTGCAATAGATGCAATTTGTAACAGACTCACGTATTCAGGCTTCCATAGATGCTGCTTCCTGTGCGAGCTGTGAAAACCTTGCTGAGCATGAGCTGAGGAGGTGAGCTGGAGGACAAAACCAGAGGGGTCAGTCAGCAACACAGGGCCAAGACAGGCTTTGCTTTCCATTTCACAGCCCTCCAGATTTTTTAGGCCTCAACATAACAGCCTTTTGTGTCAAAAGTGACATCATAGTGACTTCTAAGCAAACCCAGAAATTCCTTTCGCTCCGAGCTTGGGACATTCAGTGCCTCTCATGTCAGCACCAGGGAGTGACTCTTCTGAAAAGACCAGCAGTAAAAAATTAAACTTACCGGATCTGGTGAATTTTCAGTGTGGAGCCCTTGTAGCTCATGGCCACAGAGCCAAACATCATCTCTCCAAGCATGTTAGCATCTGAGGAGCACCGAGAACCCTGCAAAAAAAAAATCCCCACCCGCATTTGTTTTTAAGCATTTCAGAAGCATCTTTCTATTAAGGCAACACACAACTAAGGAAAATACTCATTACTTAAAAGATAAACATGAAAATACCTCACTATAACACTGTTGAACATGCTGTGTTGAACAGTTCAGTAAAGATAACGCAGGCATAGAAACTTATCTTCACAGTGAGATGAATCCCAAAATCATCCAACAAACATAACCCATCTACAGGGGATGAGCAGAATCAAACTGTGCTGAGTCAGAGGACTACAATTTTTATGAGTAAGAACCATTAAACCTAAGACTTGTTTCTGCTTGAGAAGAACAACCTCAGGTTCACTGGAGATCTTACACAGACTGTGCAGTAGAGCCAAGGTGGCCCAGTCTTCCTTGGCAAAGACCGATTCCTAACTTATCATGGATGCTATTTAATATTTCATGCAGCTTTCCCTGGTGCTCCTGTGATGACACCAGCAAAGAGCTGCAGCACCATGATGCCAGGCTCAAGTTGTGCAATCCCTGCTTCTCAGTTGTCAGAGCTTTGCTGTGAGGCATAAATACAAAGGAGGAATGTCACTGTGCTGCATCACAGGGCAGATCAAATACTGCAAAGAAAAGCCTAAAATTAACAAGTTACTCAGGGCAATCAACTGGAGACGACTGCTCAGCTGACAGTCATCTTATTTGTATACTTCCAATGACTGAGATTACTGTCCCTTTATCCAGGGCTGTTTCCTCTCCAGGCTAGCAGTGTTATTGCTGGCTCTCCACGTGTGCAGTGCCCTGAATAATTTAAAATACCATCATCACTCACTCACAGAGCTCAGGCAGTTCCCAGGTGAGGTACTTTGGTCCTGTGCAAGAGAGCAACACATTTCCTTTAGGTGCATGATAACTAACAACACCTCTTTGGAGTCATCCTTCCAAAGGTCCCTAGAGCCAGTCACAGAAATAACCTCATGTTTGGAAAATGCTAAGTAGTGTATCTCCATATCCCTTACCCAAGCTCTGAACAACCAGGACCCTCACCCCAATTCCAGGCTTGGAATGTATCTCAATCTTTTGCCCAGGGTGAGACAAGGAGCTTAGAACACAGCCAAGGACAGGGTGTCCACACCTCGGATTCCTACCAGGACTGAGGAGTGGTAAAAAAATGACCACTCAATGTTGGTGCTCACACTAGCCCACAGAACAAGGGCAGGAACAAAGAAATGCTCATCAGCCAAAAGGCAACACACTTAAAAAGCTTCTCAATTTTTAGCTGTTCTCAAGCACTCTCAATTAAGATGATGGTACTTTAACACACATACTATTAACCTCTGAAATCTGCTAGCACTGCAAGAAGGCTAGCAACCACAGTTACAAAAATCAGGATGTGATTGCAAGGTTTGTCAGTGTCCATATGACAGGGCTAAATCTGATCATTAGCTGGGTCTCAGAGAAGTTTCCATCCCTGCCTCCCAGGATACCATCCTGCCTAGGCACTGTAGGCAGCACTGGAAAAACAACTTTAACATCAGTCAGTATGACCCAGCAGCTCCAAGGAAACACAAGCATGGATGCTAATGGCTCTAGGAAATGATAGGTCTGCTAGCATCATGAAATCTTGAAGTAAGAACACTGCAAATTACTACAGCCAAATGTTATGATTGTTATTTTTAAATTTGTCACAGATCTCCAAACTGCAGGACTCTTTCTGAAGAAATGTCAAGCCCTTGATGGCTGGTTTTGGTTTCAACTTTCTGCTGTTGTGAAAAATCTAATCCTAAAGCTGAGGCAAAATACTTTAAGTATTGATTTTCTTTGTCAGGCAGCTGAATTTTAAAAAGCAAGTGAAAATCAGCTGCTTTCAAATTTAATTACAGGGGTTTCCCTTTCCTCTGAAAGGCAGAGACAAGAAATGCTGAAGGCAAAGAGCATGATAAGATGCACCCATGGCCTGTTTCATGTCTGGCATTTCATCTACACTTCATACCAGTAATTTTACCATGCATAACAAAAGATGCACAAACTGAATGCATTTAATATGGAAACACTACTACAGCCCCACATTTTGGGCCTTTAACACTGCAAAATAAAGGTCACTCGAGACCGAAGTAGAGTGCAATCAACTGAGGAAAGGGGTTAAATATTAAAAACTCAAACAAAAAACAGCCAAGGAGCATCTGGCAAAAAGGGCACAACCTCCGGCACCAACAGCTTGGACACAAACCAACTCCCTAGGTCATATTTACAAACTCACATAAAAACTGATCATAAAATTCCCACAAGTGTTTGTTATTGCACATTAGCATATTAGAAGTAGTAAAATCTGCATGATTTGGAAATCCCATTTCTGAATATATTTACAGCATTTAATGTTCCACTTACTGTGCATGTTGTCCTAAGTGCATTTGTAAATTAAAAATGTACAGCAGAGAAATAAATGTCAAGTGTTGTGATCAACAAATCAGAAAGACTCTCAGTCCTGACTACACTGACAAGAGGTAACACTGGTGTTCTAATGAACAAATAATTGTGGGCAAGCTTAGAACCACATCCAGCTTCATCTTAATGGATTCTAATCACATTTGTGAGGGATCTGGATAAGACATAATTAAAAACATGGAAGCCTGGAACAAACCCCTGTATTCCACCTTGCAGTTAAAGTTGCTCATATATAGTCAAAATGTATTTAAACAAGGAGACACGAAGAACTGCTTTTAATGTCCTACAGTACTATTTGGAGTTCCATTTTATAGCTTTAAAAAGCAAACCAAACCAAAACAAGCAAAAGAACATAAAAATACTGCAAATACACTAAGTAACTTCTGAGGTTACCAGAAACAGCAGTTAGAAGATAGGGCTGCCTGATGCCTGGACAAACTAACTCTGGCCCTTCTGCATACAGGATACACCATTTTATTGAGCAGTAAAGAACTGGTGTTTATGGCTCTCTGCTCACTTGCTGGGGATGCCTGGGAGTACAAGACAGTTTGCAACAAACACACTGTGGAAGATCAGCTGGAGCTGAAAATGTCTTGGAGACTTTTTGAGCCAGTCCCATGGCCACACATCAGTTCCCCTTGGTACCATTTTAGCTAAGTGATACGCGTGAGGAACTGGGGACTTCTAAAGGAAAACTTTCCACAGCTTTAAAACACACTGTCATGCCAACCACTAACATTAATTTCCTTTAATAACGTTGGCCATTGTTTGCACAGAGCCTGCCCAGTAGGAGAGACAATTTCTGGATAGTGGGGGGCATCATTTTTCTTGGTCACACAATGCATGAAGGAGGTTATTTTGTGCACGAAGGAAGCTGCTGACAGAAATGTCTCTTCCTTTCATAACCGCAGCTAAATGCCCTTCCAGGAAGGGAAGAATGGAAAACAGATCTTCAGCCACCTTACTAAGGCTGTGCAAAAGAGTCTGATGAGGAGGAGAAAACAAGAATATGCAGCTCACCAAATATAGCAAGAGCTAACGTGACAGTGGGACAGTCAGCACTGAAAGGTTCTTCATTTCTATCTACGGTAGATTAAGACATCAGTAGTACTGTACTTCAGAAGAGGTGGTGGAGATAGCAGCTTCCCTCAAACACACAATTACTTCATTACAAAGAGTGGAAGGGCTTAGTTCTATTTTAGGGTGGCTTAATATAAAACACTTGTGATCCATGGAAGGAGAGATGACAGAAATATATCCGTGTCAGATGACTCCAGCTACTCTCCTGGCCAAACTCTCTTATGTAAAATGTAACTCAAGTGCACCGAATCCCTTGTCATAAAGCTGTTACACAGACTATCCCTATAGACACCACCTTTCTCTCCTTGTTTCCGGGCATTCAGCAATAAAGCAAAATAAACTACCTAATCTGTACCAAGATAAGATATTTGTGCCAAGTCTGATGGCACCGAATGAGTGTTATCACCCGGGTCATAAGACAGAGCAAATGCCCTGGAGAAATCGCTGCCATTCAAGACACATCCCAAGAGAACCAGCTGGCTGGTTTCAGACTTGTTCAAACCCAAAGCTACAGAATTCAACATTACTGAGTCAGAACCAAAGTCTGATGTTGACTGAAAACTGCTCTCCCCCACCAACCTATAATTTCAAGCATTTTTAAATGCTCGGTACCTCACCTGCTGTTAGTGTTTGACATGGGTTATGCAAAGTGAAGGAAGTGCAGCTCACCTGGTATTTTGGACATTGTTCTTTTGGATCAGAGAACGAGGAGGATGAGTTAATTGAGCTGTCCAGGGAAGAAGAGCTGTCTCCTCCAGGCTTCAGTTGGCAACATTTCCCAAAAACTCTCACTTGAGCATCACTGCAGAGTTTCTGCAATAGAGACAACACATGTGACACACCTGTGATGGCTGCTTAGCAGCACTCCCCTTACCTGTTCAGGTCAGACATTTCACAGCTGAAAGGCTCCAGGAAAATAGTTAACAGAATATTTATTAGTGTATCCTGCAGCCTGGCTGTACAAAGAAAGCTGAGCCATTTCACCTCCATTAGCCAGGAGCAAACAGGTCGCTCCAACTCCATCTTCCTAAGGAGCCATCCACCTCGAAGCTTCACAACTGACATTTTTAGAGGCTGGATTAGGAGGCAGGATGGCACCAAAGCATTTAAAGGAAGGATGGCAACAATAGGCTCCATCTGTCTCCATCCCGCTCCCTGTGCCCAGTGGGGCGAAGGTGACACAGCAGTGTGACAGACACAACCCTCCAGAGTGACAGTGCTGGCCAGATCAGGACAAGGAGCATGTCAGAGTGTCCAGGAAAACACACAGACTGGGAATAACCGAGTGAGAACAACTCAGAAATCAACAGAGATTCATGTAACAGGGATACGTGGACAGAAAGGATACTGTTTTTACAGATCTCTTGCAAAGAGTGGCACAGAGGTGACACATTCCTCTCGTTTGCAGTACGAGGGAATTGTGAGGCTGGAAAAGGACAAAGCTGCAAAACACAGTCAGCATTACAGAGAAGCCAGAAGTTTCACCAAACAATGCAGAAACACTCCAAGGGTGATTCCTGATAGAGATTCAGGCAGCAGAGCAAAAAGGGGAGTTAGGAGGGCTCCGGTGGAACTGAACCAACAGGATCTGTGTTGCCTCTACACGTGCAGTGTGATCACTCACTGGCAGAGAAGATGCTTCTACTGCTTCATTCACTGTTTAAAACATTTGCCATTTCCCCTGGGAACATCAGCATCCCAAGCACCACCAGCACCCACGTCACTTGAGGCCATTCACACCAGCAGCAGGCAACTCTCTTCACCTGGAGATCTCACCGTATTTCTCAGACACTCATTACACTTCAACACACCCACGTCAGGTTGGCAGCATTTACATTTGCTGGTGGGCAGCACTGGGAGACAGAAATAGTCTACGCTGTTCAAAATTGCCTGCTAACTCTACCCTAAGACTTTTCTAATTAACATTTCCTATACATTCACCAAACCAGTAAGAGCAAGCTGGAAACAAGCCCTGCTGGAAGCAAGGTTCAAGGGACAGATGGAAACACAGAAGTGCTGTTACAAGTCACAGCTTCATCTCTGGCCTCTTGGGTCCACATCACAAGCTCTTTCTTCATTCAAAAACAGAAGTATGTCTCAATCTTTACTGGCTATGAAAAAAATGGCAAGGGCATAAAGAACAGTGTGAAATACCAAAGGCACAAGGTGGTAACTTCATGACTCTGCCTACAGGAAAGCTGGGGAGGAGCTTTTCACCAGAGAGGGCAGTGACAGCACGAGGGGGAATGGTTTTAAACTGAAAGAGGGGAGATTTAGGTGAGATATCAGGAAGAAATTCTTCTCCATGAGGGCAGAAAGACACTGGAACAGGTTGCCCAGGGAGGTTGTTGATGCCCCATCCCTGGAGGTGTTGAAGGGCAGGTTGGATGAGGCTTGTGCAGCCTGGGCTGGTGGGAGGTGTCCTTGCTCATGGCAGGGAGGTTAGAACCTGACACTTAAGGTCCCTTCCAACCTTCACCATTGTATGAACTGTACCAAAAGACAACAGCCCTTACTTCTGCATGGGGAGTTTATTGAGGGACACAATGGGAACCCCATGCCCCTATCCTAAGCTGTGCAGGTTACTATTTGTTTTTGTTTTCTTTTGCCAAATCTCAGCCACAGCTGGGAACAGGTGACTTTTCTTTGGCCCTGACTGTGGGCGAGATTTAGCAAACCAGCAGAAAACATCAGGGATTATTGAGCTCCACGTGGCAGCCTGCACTGCTGCTCCCATTAGAGCTGCTCCCACAGAAAGCCTGGAGGAAAAATGAGCAGACAAGTCAGTAATTCTGTGGCAGAGGGGAAGGAAGCTGAGCCCTGTGCTCCCCTGCCACATCCAGCCCCCCTTCAGTAGTGTCCTCTCATTACGACATCGTGGTGAGCACGTTGAGTTCATGCAATATGCAGATTTGCTAATGGCCAGGGTCTGTGGCTGGAGCACAGTGCACAATGGCTGGAACATGTGAATGATCATCATATGACTTCAGTAGGAACTCGTGAACTAGAATTGCATTTTATCTCTGACACAAACAACAATGTCCTAGGCTAGGCAAGCATCATGTGATAAAACCACATAAAATCCACAGGGTTACAGAAGCTTTTGCAGGCAAACCACAGTTCAGCTTGCATTTTCCATTAGATATTGAAAGTTCCTTCTAAAAAGTTACAATTGTAACTGAGCTTCCTCCAGACTATAAAGCCAGTAAATGCATTTCTGTAGGTGATAAAAAATTCTGTGCACCAAAAATCATAGGCTAAATTTGTAAATTACTTGCTTTTAAATAATTTCTGCTTATTATCACTGCATTTTTGTGCATGGCAAATTTCCCCAGATCCACTGGGAAGTCTGGGATCTTGCAGTAATAGTTGCCTAATTTAAATAGCAAACCAGGAAAAAGGCTATTTGTGTTGTTTTGTTTGGTTTTTTGGTTTGTTGGGTTTTTTTTTCAGTGAAGTTTAATGAACCAAGACTCCTGCAAGGAATATGTAAAGGAAATCAGGATCTTTCAGATTCTTTCCACTTTTCAGAACCTTGTAAACAGCAAATCCCTCCTAAAATACAGACCACTGATGAATTTTTTTCTTTACTATTTTACAGACATAGTATGTGCTTAAGAATGCCCTGTTGGACAATGAGATCAGGTGCCTGAAATGCCCCTCTCCTCTGCAGTTTCTGCCTCCAAATGTCAACGAAATTTTAGATGCTACAAATCTCAAGCTGTTACGCATCAAAGGAATGGGATTACTCTCATTCCAGTGTAATATTCCAAAGATATTCAAGCCAGGCTTCCAAAAATAAAAAGGTAACCTAATTACTGCAAAACTGTAGAAGGGAAAGTTTCAAAGGTGTGGATTTTCTTTCCAGCTCGACAGAGCTGCAACTACCCAGCTCCCCAGGCAAGGTGCTGCTGGAGTGCCCAGAAATGCCCCCTCCACAGCTGCTGAGGACACGGCTGCTCCTGGCTCTGCTCACACTCTTTGTTCTCCCTCTGCCAGCTCACTGCAGATACCACCCAGATCCAGAGATTTTGGCACTCACACTTCTTATATTAAAGGTCCTCATTTGCTGAAAGTCTTGGAGATTTGTCAGGTAGTACTGAAGATACCTTGGAGTAAAATCTCTTTATAGTACAACAGTGTACAAAGTGATTTTCTTCTACAGTTTTGCTTCTGGCATCTCTTTTCTCCACCTCTATCAGCAAAGACCTCTCACTCTCTGCCACAAGGCCTGTTCCTCACTAAGTGGAAAGAACATGCCCAGTGCTGTGCACAAGATGAGAAATTTCTGCTGGGCAGGTTTTGGTTTGAGGATATGAAGAAAGTTGAAAGGAGCCCGGTGTGTTGAACTAAATCCAGAGTGTCTGCATGTGTGTTAGGGCTGTAAGTGACAGAGGGAGAGGGAAATGTCATCATATGCTTTAGTGTTTCCTACCTCTCTGCAACAGCAGCTGCTCAAATACCATTTCAGTGGTAGTGGTAGAGAAACCAATACCTACAAGCAAAGATGCCACTCTTCAAGAGCTCTGTACCTCATTTCTAGAACAGGTTTTTCAGCAAAGCTGAAAAATTATTCCCAAATAGACAAATTAACTCTTTAGCTGTATTAGTATGCATTGATCTGACATGAGACTAACTTGACAGGCATTCATGTGCCCCCTTCAAGTGCTGCTCTAAAAATCCAGTCATCTTTCTTAAAATGCAGCTGTCAAGTGCAACATTCTCTCTTTATTTCCAAGGTTGTCAAGTTCCTTTATTACTCTGAGGTCAGAGAAAGTAGTAAAGACAACCCTATGCTCCCCCACTCCACTCATATTCTTCCATCTCTGTGTAGAGCTAAGAAGGTGGGACTTGGTCCCTGTGCTTCCAGCTTTATGTGTCTGCCCAGCCTGACTGGAGCCCTGTCCCCTGAGAGCCAGAGAGAGCCCAGAGTCTCCATTTCACACAACTCACCTAAAAGCAAAAGGCTCACTATCCAATTACTAATCCCTCAAAGCAAATTGCTGTTCAACATTTAGCCAGTGCTGAAGCATATTAGAACACGTGGCTAATCCTGGCTTGCTCAAAACAGCATGCCATTTTTCTACTTTGGGATAAATATGATATTTGGAGTGAAAGAAACTGTCGCAGTAGGAGATCAAGTATCATATGACCTCTCAGTTAAATTATCCCAAAGATAAAGACAACTGGGTTGCATGGCAAAAATGAAGGTTTTGTTCCAAAAATCCAAATCCACTGTTGCACCTCTAGACCTCAAATTCTGCACCCTGGGCCACAATCCTGCTTTCATTTATTGAAAAACAAACAAACCAAGCCCTGCTTCTGAAAATCCTCTCCTGCCTCTGGGTCCTGGGAACAAGCCACTGCTCTCCTCTCATTCCTTGTCTTTCCCTCTTCCCAGCCAAACCACCCAAACTCTAGACCCCTGCTCAGCACAGCGCACAGCTGGCCTCTTTCTCTTTCCTCCTTCCTCTTCCTCACAGTTCCTGACACCCTTTCATCCTCCCTGGACTCCACACCTTCCTCTAGCCCGATTTCCTGAATTTCAAACCTTAAGCTTCTTAAATGCCCAGCTCTCTTCAGTCAAATCCCAGATGGTAACTGCCACCTTGTCCTGAGTCACCAGTGGACAACACAAAAAGCAAACTGAGCAGTTTAACAAGAGGGCTAACCCCTGTCCCTCAGCTCAGTCAGCCTGCTCCAAGGAAAGACCTGACACAAGGTTCCTCTTCCCAGCTTCTTCTTTGGTTTACTCCCCACTTCTCCCTTGTGGCACCATTTCTATGGCATCCTTATCCCAAACAATTGCCAGCCCTTGAAGGAAAACTCCTCGTGCTCTGGCTGTCCTGTGCACACTGACAGTAATGGTGACACAACTCGTGTGCCTCACAGCAGCAGGACAGCAGGACACAACACAGGCTGCACGTAAGGTTAGTGTGAATGCTGAGGAGCCAGGGGGCAGGAAAGGCAAGAACCAAGGCAGAAAGCTCAGCACTGGCTGGGCCACCTGGCCTCTACACCTTAAAGAGGAAAAGGAACTGCCTGTTGTGCCTGATTTGAAATTCAAACCAGCCCCTGTATCACAGCTCTTGAAGCAGGACACCTGTGTTCACACATGGCTCCTGGCTTGGGGACTCAGCCCAACCCATGGGGGTGAGTGAGAGCAGGACCCCAAATCCTTAATTAGTATTTAGTTTCACTGAAGACATGAAGAGGCTGATTCAATATCCAATGAAAACACAAAATCCTTACTTGTCTCACAGTCCTACTTTCCTCACTGATAATATGAACCAGCTTGGTGTGAGCACAAAGTCTGCAGTTGCTGCTCATCAACAAGTCAGAACCTACTGGTTTATTTCTTGAAAGGTGTCTGAAAAAGTTTGCTCTGATGCTCCTTAAATTTTATAACCATACCTTCCCTTCTAGAATTCAAATGACTGAGCCATGCTCAACCTTGGTCCAGCACACAAAACTGACATCTGTAGAGACTAGATACATACAACAGAGCATCTCACCTTGCTGCAGGCATACAGCTCTTAAATTAGAATTGCTTTCACGTCTCATAAGCAACAGAAAATAGGAACTGAAGAGCACAGCAACATAAAGCAAACTGAAACCCTCTCAGTTCTCTGCATTAGACTAATTAGACTTTAACCAGAACAGCCTGGCCACTGCTTGGCACCCTTGCAGATCTCCCCCCTAGTGTTATTTGTAAATGGAGAGGTATAAATCACATTAGGAAATGGGGGGTGGGGGGAGATGCAGAAAGCTTTGGCTTTTGTAGGGTGGTGAACAGATACCCTTTCAGAAGGGAGAGTGCCCAGCCCACACACGTCTTGCTGCAAAAGGGCAAGAGTGTCTTGGAATGTGCTTAGAGCCACGATCTGGCTTTGTATAGGCAGGGTGTGTCTCTGTTAATGAAAATCATGATAAAGAGCAAGAAAAATAAACAATGCAATTCCTTGAAAATGGCCAGTTCCCACTGCTCACTGCACAAGCCTGTACTGAGCTCCCAGCAAGCTGAGCCCAGGACTCTTCGGCACGTTTTTACCTGCTTCATGTTTCTGCTATTGCAAAGCTTTGTTTTACGAGGGAAGTTTTGCCTGACATGACATTATGTGAGTGCTGCAGAAAGCAGATACTATAGCAAGCAAATGCGTCAATATATTCTCTTCCAAAGTCTCCTAATAGCACAAAAAAAGAGAAATATATCAAGTTACTAGAGATGAGTACTGGGCATTTCAAGCACCCTGGGAACAGTCCTCCTCCACCCGTCTCACACGCTCACTTCACAGAGATGGGGAATACAGCTATTTCCCCCTCAGCAAAGAACAAGAAAGGAGAGACTAATATGGAACTGTATTAGCTTCACTATCACCCGTTTATTCTGTTGCTGTTGAGCTGCCCAGTCAACAATCTTTCTGAAATAAACCAATGCAATGAGGTTTGCATGTTCACTGTGCAAGTACAGATCTATCTGATAGAGGCTTAAGGCTTTCAAGAAATCAATTGAAACATGGCAAGAAGATTAATGCTGTAACTTTTTTTTTTTATTAATGAAGTAATACTTTATAATTAATGAAGTAATAGTAATAAGCATAGCCAGCAATGCATACCAATCAACCACTTCTAAAGATCTCTTGTCTTTAAAAACCTGTTTTCTTGGCAAGCAGACCTAGAAGAACAGGAACTTATAAATTATAAAGTCGTTCTAACAAGTTAAAGAGAAAGATGGATTTTGTTCAACATTTGTGAGACTTGCTTTACTTCACAAATTCTCAAAAAGAACTAGGAAATTGGCACCTTGACTCATGGCTATAAAAGTGCTAAAGTAATCAGTGGAGAAGCTGGACGTTGATACCTGATGAGACACAAACTGTCTCCCAGAGGTTAGGATATAAGGACTTAGGAAGCGCTGGGGATGAGGCACATCAAGCTGGCAGGATTCAGCAATATGCCAGAAGAGTTTACAAAGCTGGAAGAAGAATCTCCTGGCTTGACTCCAATACCCAACATGAAAACCAGGGCTTGGGGGTAACATGCTGTTTTGTGTACTCCTGCTTACAGAACTTAGTAAGTCCTAGGGGTAAAAGCAACTGGGATAGTAAATTTCAGTTCATGCAGTGCTTTCTGCTTGCAGAGCTTCAGATGCTTTGCAAATGCTTTCAGAGGTGGTGAGCAGGAAGTTCAAAGCAGCAGAGTGTCCAGACTCACACAGCCACTCACAATAGCACTGTGGCTATAAGTTAATCTTCTGGCCAGAGCCCTTCGAAGGAAGCATCCTCATCTGACTGCATCCATTTACAGTTTCAATTAATAGATTACCATGCAGACTATGCCAAAAGGAAAAACAGGGTAAGTTTTCAAGTAACTTTGTGGGAAAAACTTGTCTGCAAAGCACAGAAATGATGACTGGCAAAAACTAACCCAACAGGACACAAGAGGACACAGGACCAGCATTGCTGGCTGCAGCCCTAGGAAAAGAATCCTCTTCTCTGCAAGAGCAGAAAGCAGAGAAGTCCAGGAATAAAGAGATCACTATAGTATTTAAAGCTGTCAAGAGTGTAATCATTGAAGCCTGAATAATTTGCAACTTCAGTGGCATTTAAATGCGTATAACCGACATTTAAATGATAATGTGAATAAACCAGAACATTTGTGATTTCTCAGTCTTCCATTTGAGAAAACACAGACTATAACCACATAAAGCAGTAAAACACTCACCGACACAGAAACATCCTCTATCTTTCTTTTAGCACTGGAGTCAAATAAGACATTCCGTCCTCTTCTCTCACAGTCCTGATACACAATCAGTCGGATCTGACTCGGGTCAAACTCCGGCAAAGGCCAGCTGGAATTAAAAAAGGAAAGAGCAGGAAGATCAATTACCACAACTCTTTATGACACTGTTCTTTCTACATTATCTGTATATACAACTTCATTAAAACCAAGTCGAGCAAATGTGATGCCGTTCCATCCAAGCCTTTGATCCCCTAGCCAGAACAATGCCTTTTGGTTTTTTCTTTCCCCTACACTTGCCAGCTAACACTGGCATAAAGGCCACCCATCCACTCCAGCCCCATGCAATGATGTGCACAGCATTACTAGCTCTTGTGCTCTGTCTTGTGATTTTAATGTTTTCTTTAAGCCCCAGCTTTTTGAAACCAAAGTCATAAAAGACCTCAGCTTTTGTGTTGGAAGACAAACAAGTCCCTCATCACTGCAAGCTCTAGCTTGAAAGCGTTGATAATTCAAAGGCAAAAAGGAACAAGGTGCATATTCACATTGGCTTCTCCCTTAAGTCATGAATTTCTGCATTTGCAGTCATGTGTTCTCAGCCTCCTGAGCTGGCAAAGCACTGCACCTCACAGCTGAAAAACTGCTCTGTGCCTTTCCTGCCCTTCTGCAGCCTTCACAAGCACTGGAGTAACACGTGTGTGTAAAACCAACTGCAGTATTATAAACTGCAACGTTCAGACTGATTTACATGCCTTGATGCTGCGGAGCAGAGTCACGTGCAGCTTGGTCCTGGCTATACACTCAGGTCCTTGCTACATTCAGACTTAGGAATAATCTCCACTTAAGCCACTGTGATTCCAGGCTGTGCTGCTGCACAGGTCAGCAACACACACAGCAGTCCTCATACACCTATTCCCAAGACAGATTTGCAGTCAGCAACAAGGAAAGGAGCTTTCCTGAGCCTCTGCCTTCCCTTGGAAGTTCTTGGAAGATAGGCAACAAGATGCCTGCTACTATCCATGAAACCAAGAGGAATCATCTTTCAGCTAGTTACGAACTGTTTCCTAGACAAGTGAAATTCTATCTTCCTTATCCTTGGGTTTTAGGCAAGCAGTGTCAGCATGAAACCTCAAGAAGTGATAAACAAGGCCCTGGAACTTTCCAGCCATTAACAAAGGATACAGGCTCCCAGTTTACAAGGAAGAGACGTGCATTCATCTCAGCAAAAAGACACCCATGAGTGACAATATGGATTACAGTAAACCTGGCATGTCAGACTCCAAGACTAGGATAATTTTTCCTCTCCTCTGGCCCTCAATCCACCAACCAAAGGGCTTCCCTCTCTGCACCCATGCTTTATGTGATCAGTACACTAGCAACAATTTGTAACCAAACAACTTCTTTAAAAAATCACAGCAGAGAATCAATTTGATTACCAAGGCCATGGTTGCCTATCAGAAGTTAATACAGATTCACAGGCTTTACAACTAGAGTAGTCCCAGTGAGGTGAAACTAAGCTCCAAGACATACAGTTACTCAGTCTCCTGAGAGAGGAAATCCATTTCCTAATCTGCTCAGCCCCACCATTTAGCAACAGGAGAGAAAAACAGAAGCTGCAGAGAAGATAGTGTGCAACAATTGTCAAATGCAACTTATTACAAGACAAAGGCTTGAGCAACTTGAAACTGAAATAACTTGATGTGTAGGTTTGGGGGCAAAGAGCTGCTCACCCTCGCTGTTGGGGCGCCAAAAGCCAAACATCGTCCACAGAGGGACATGTCCACACCAGGAGCAGACTGAGCAAGGTCTGCACCAAAACCCAAGCACAGTGACAAACTCAGAGCTTAACAGGGGGTCAGCTAATGAGCCCCATCTTGCATTTCAGAAAATAACAGAAAACAACCCCCACATGGTTCCATGCAATTTTGGCGTGTTAATCAACTGAGAGGTTCAAAGACACCAGAACTGGGGACTTGTAAGAGCCTGACTTGGGCTAGAGGTGAGGAGGCAAGTGAGACACCTGGAGAAACTGGATTCCTGGAGAAACCAACCCCTTATATTGAAGTGGAATCAATGGAAGTCTGGAAACCCATTTTGTTTCTAGATAGGCCACTGGGGTTCCTATAAAGCAGCAGTGTGTGACAATAACAAGGAACTGCCTGCCAAAAAGGTGCTATCACTCGCTCCACCCTTCCAACCCGCTGGGAGCTTCCTTCACACTCAGACTAAAGTGTGTCTTCCATTACCTAGTACTTTCGATATTTGACTTTGAAATTACTGAGAAAGAAGGGCAGTAGCTGTTCCAGATCTTAGGAAAGTCTACTTATAAAAAGCTCCAAGAGCAGATTACACACTAAGAAGAGAGAAAGCTAAATATAAAACTCTTGCTGTATTCAGAAACATACTTGATCAAGGTAACAAGAGCTTGTTTACTTCTCAGCTTCTCCACATGACATTTTAACTTTCTCTAGACAAGCATTTAGTAGCTATTATCCATCATAATTTGTGATAATTCCAAAGAAGCGTTATCTCTGTTACATAATAGAGTCCTTAAGCACATTTCAGCCTTGCAAAAACATTCCCTGGCAGTAACGGGCCACTTCCCAAACCAGAAGAAACTTTAAATAGACCTGGGGGAAAGTTCATTTAGGCAGACAGTAAACAGAAGGAGACTGGCACCCCCGACTCACCCCCAGCACCTCCCAGCCAGAAGGAAGCAGGACACAGTCACTTTTCCTTTTGTTGTTAGCAGCTCTAAAATACCATGACACTTAATACCTGGATGGATTAATCCCCGAAACGTACACATTCCCGGGTGCAAGACGCAGGGCACCCTCTCCAAACAAATCTAACAGGGCAATACTCCTGTGCTGCTCTTCAGGCAGATGAAAACTGACCTAGATCTTGTGAATAAAATTAGTCCTGTTTATAAATGGAAACTAACTTTGACATTTAACTGATGTTTTCTTGAGATTTTTATAGGAAAACCAGGAGATGTTGAATCAAATGTTCTCGTGATGTTAATGAGAGGTGAGTCTGTCTCCTACGCTGTTCTGGAAATGACAGTTCTCTTAATGAGGACTTTTTTCCTGTGTGACCTATCTAGCACTCTTTGATCTTTCCTTGAAACTGATTACATTTAAAGAAACTAAACAAAAACAAACTCAGAAGAAACAAACACAAAAACCACCACCAAAAAACCCCCAACAATCTTCTCGCCAGTGAAACTCTTTGTGATTTTGCGGCCCAGCTGAGACATGCATCAAGCAAGAGAAGAAATACTGAGAAATTCCTTCTGAGCAGGACACCAGCCCTGTGGAGATCTCCACCACACAAACAGTGGATCTTCTAGAATGAGATGTTCAGAAAAACTTAGACAAATAGAATGAGGTAGAAATCCATTGATGCGTAAATGCTCCAGAGGGCTGGAGCAGCTCTGCTCTGGAGACAGGCTGGGGGAGTGGGGGGCTGTTAGTCTGGAGAAGAGAAGGCTCTGGGGAGATCTTAGAGCACCTTCCAGTGCCTGAAGGGGCTCCAGGAAAGCTGGGGAAGGACTATTTACAAGTGATGGGATGAGGAGGAATGGTTTTAAATTGAAAGAGGGGAGATTTAGATATTAGGAAGAAATTCTTTCCTGTGAGAATGGTGAGAACTCCAGCCCAGGTGGCCCAGAGAAGCTGTGGCTGCCCCATCCCTGGCAGTGTTGAAGGGCAGGTTGGATGGGGCTTGGAGCAGCCTGGGCTGGTGGGAGGTGTCCCTGCCCATGCAGGGGGTTGGAACTAGATGAACTTCAAGGTCTCTTCCAACCCAATCCATTATGATTCTGTGTGGGATGTTTCAGAAACAAATCACATAAAACCAGATCTTGCACAATCACAGGCTGGTTGAGGTTGGAAGAGACCTCTGGAGGCCATCTGGTCCAACCCCAGGCACAGATGCTAATGCAAGTTAGAAAGCACAAAGGGAAAGAAATAGTTTGGGACAGAAAGGTAAACTTCCACATGAATAATGATTAAATTATCAGAAACTAATATTAATTAAAACAAAGCCTGAAAAAATATATTATAATGCACATTCACACTTAATCCCTACGATTGTTCAGCTCTTCTCACTCTTTCACCCGTTTTGTTCTCCTGACTTTTTTTTTTTTACATTTAAGTAACAGTATTATTTGTAGGTTACATGTACAGATCCATTACACACTCCTGACACCTCCAGTGGGAGCTGCATGGCAATGCAGAACTCCAGATTCTCTAAGGCTGGATTTTCCCACGTGTCTAATTCCCGGAGTTTATTACTGCCATAGACATTTATCACCAAGAGGTAACTGAACAGCTTTAAACTGGCAGCACTACACTCTGTGCAAGTTTTAATCACTGAAACTAGAGACACAGAAAGACTTCATTACCACTCCATCAAGTAAAATCCAAGATTTTCCCCTGTAAGCAAGTATATTCTTTCCTCCCTGTTTCCACTACATTATGAGTTTACTTTAATGCTATTTTTCATCCTGCCTGAGATTTCACTTTTAAAACAATTTCATATTAACATAGCTTAGGTAGTACCCAATTAGTTTTTAATAATTAACACAGATATCTTAGAAGTCTTTAAGAAACAGAAGCAAACTGACTGAGGCACTAAGCAGGTAGGAATTGTAGAACAGTTTGCTAAAAAGTAAGTTTCTCAAAACCAGAATATGACTAACCATTGAAAACGCAAGTTGAAACTATCAGTCAAACTATTGTTTTCCTACATCATGTTACCCATCGTTACAAAAACTGCCTGGTGATGAATCACTTCCAACTATTTTTAAATGCATCTACGCAAATGATATTTATAGTTTATGCTAGCTTATCTGTTCTGCATGTTTTTCATGTTAGCACCTTTTTACAAGGCTGCTGGGAACAACCAGGGCAGAGCAGACAGCAGCCCCACCTTGCCCCGTGCCCTCCTCGCGGGGCTCCGCGTGGAAGGAAACGTCCTCCTTTCCTCCTGATAGATTAACATCAGACAGAGGGATCCTCAGGGCTTATCCCCAGCTCCTGCAGATGATCCTCTTGTCCTATTGTTGTTATGGTGGTGCTTAGACCCAGCCAACTTCTACACAAGTGTTGGACAGAAAGACTGTCCCTCCCTTGCAGAACCTGCGCTGCAAATACAAGCCCATTCCACTGGGTGCACTGGGATTTTTCAGATGCAGATTATCTCCATGTTCCACAGGGATGTGCACTCCCAGCAAAGCACACTCACCTGTACGTGTACACCTAGTAGTAGTTAGGATCCTGCTTTGTTATGCAGAACGGTGATCAGAAGCAGAAGGAAAACAGCCCTTGACTAGTCCAACCATCATACCATACACTTCTTACCCGTGTCTGAGATGCTTTTTCCAACAAGGGGCTCCCTTCTCCTGCTCAAATTCCTCTGCACATTTCTATTATCTGCTACTAGGGTTTTTTTTTCTTTTAGCTTTGAGAAGATGTAACACAAATTGAGTACATATGACACATTCTATGTATTTTAATACCTTCTTACTGCAATTCTATAATTTGCTTATTATTTGACCATGACTGTACTAAGACAGCTGGGTAGGCCGTTCTGAGAGAGCACAACTAATTTGGAAGCAATGAAAACAGGGCACGTTGAGGATGCTTCCAGCCTTTGAAGACAGCCCATTAGTAGAGCCTTTTTTTGAAGAGGCATGGGCAGGTTAGTTAGTTTTTAATCATAACACCTGAAGTGCCAAAGAACTTCTCCAGGGCCGCTGCGACGAGGACGATCTGGACTGCATCGCTGACTTGCAAAGTTGGCATTTTCAGTGAGAGATTCCATTTACATGCTGGTGACATAACGTGACCATCAGGCTGTGAGGAGGAAGAAGATCCCTGAGGCTGGGAAACCACGGGGTCTATACTTAGAAAAAATGTTGCAAGATAATTGTCTTTCCAAGTGCTGAGGTCACATCAGGGTTGTGCGAGCGCTGTGCTGAACGCCCGCTGGTTCTGCAGAGAAAACCAGCAACTGGGACTTGCCCGAGGCCCCAGAGGGAGCTGGTGAGGATGGGATGTGAAGGAGTTTGCCCAGCACCAGGGGCCACGCTGCCTCCATCGCACCGACCTCAGCTGGGCTCCACACGAGGCAGCAGACCTGGACCTGGGGAAGCCTTGGAGGAACTGGCAGAGGTGATGGATCACCTCAAGGATAGCCACTCACAATGGGTGGCTGCTCCTCGCCCTTAGGTTTTTAAGGTTTTCCACAAGGAAACAATGTTTCTCAAAAAAAAAAACAACCCAACAACAAACCCAACCCAAAACAAGGTAAGGCAAGCCACCCCCTTTCACTTCCTGAGGGCAGGTGACGGGTCCCCAGGCACTGCAGCACCACAGGGGTCAGCTCCACGCTCCATCTATAAATCTGCCTTGTTCATTTACCAGCTTAGCAATCCTCACCTTGAATAACTGCACTACTTGAGCTCCAGGAAACTTCTGCTGCTTACACTGAGCACATATTGTACGCTAGGCACATAGTCAGTCAGCCAGATATTTCACACTCAGTATCATAAATTTGGACCTAAACTTCAATTGGCTTCCAAGGTCCTTGGCTCCAAGTCTTTAACTGTAAATGAAACTGACTTTAGTTCGTTTTCTTTTTTTTTTTTCCTTCTACCAAGTCACTTGGCTCTCATTAAGATACCTAATTTAAAGTGTAATACATGAGCCAGATGCCTTTCTACAAGCAAAAAGACAATATATACACATTAGGTACAGTCTAGTCAACACATTAATCATAATCTGGAACGTGATATTGAAAATAAGTAGGTTGGAAGGTTTTGTTAAAGATGTGCAGCATGTTGAATAACTTTGAAATTTACACAGCTTCAGAATTCACAAGTAGCTTCAGTAATTTCATAGAGTATTTTGGCACTACCTCACGTGTCTCATTTCAAAAAGCACCTGTAAGCTTCTAGCTGGTTTAAGCACATACATGGATGCAAACATAGACACATACACACACACACAAGCTCTGAGCTCTTTTGAAATACCTGCTTTAATAAAACCACACACAAGCAAGACACAGCTCCCCTCAGTTAAATTCACTAGAAACCAACACAGGGTTTTCCATGATTCAGGTAGACTGCACCTCCCTTTGCAAAATTATGACAGATAGAACCAATTCAAGGAAAAAAACCCACATTTGTGCCATTTAGCATAAAAATTAAACCTCTAAAAGCCTGGTACATCTGGAAAAGAAGCACTTTCATCACCGTGAAGACATTAAGCTTTCAAATCATTAAAATAACCTCAAGAACCGTGCGGTGACTGTACCTGGGAAGCATCTTTGTCCCCCGAGCAGTTCCACTTTTCAAAATCCCTAATAAACTCCTGCCGTGCCCGGCTGCCAACTCAGGTTAATAATAGCAATGAGCCATATTCATCCCAAACCACAAGACTGTCAGGTGACACATCAAGAGGTCTGAATTTAACTCAAAACAAAAGACTCTCCGTGCGGCGAAGCAAGAGGCTCAACCCTGGTGCCAGGACATCCCCAGGGGGGCAGGGGGCTGGGGGCTGGGCAGGGGG